TACAGGAAGCTAAAATAGACTGATTGCCCCCTATTGGCTGTTAGTACAGGCCGACAGCTTCACCCTTCTGTACTACACCTTAAAATAATATAAACTCATCAATGACACTAATAAAAATGTGATTATCTGACCAGTTTTTGATGTGATGCTTTAAAAGCAGTGCGTTTCGTTATGGCTGACAGCTGCAGAGGCCCCTGTTTAGATTACAGTAACTATTCTGCATCCTTAAAACTAACCTGCTTGTTCCAACAACAAACTTTAGTGCAGCTGCTAAACTGTAGTGATGTACTCAGAGCCTGGAGACCCAGACAATGCCTCGTTTCCTACAAGCTAAACAAGCAAAAGTAGTTTTGGGTTATTTGGACTGCCTTCATGTTCCTGCAGCTGGAGGATTGGTACCTTCTGTATTTAATTCCATAACAGAATTGAGGCCATGGTCCTCAGCAGGAAAAGGGTCGAGTGCCCACTCCAGGTCACCCCACCCACAGTGGGCTGATCTCTTAGATGGACATTAACATCCCCCACCCCTCGTCAGGTTTTCCAACTGCTTTGTGGATAAGACGTCTTGGACGATCATCTTGGATGTTGCAGGAAACAGCAGGATGTTTCATCCCGGGGATGGAGGTGCCATGTTTTTGCTGATGTTCTAAATGAGCTCATCTGCACAGCATAGTGGAAGCATGTGATCATTGTAGTCTCACCTTCATGCTACCACTGCTACTGCTATTGTAATCATTTATTTAAACAGCATTATCTCTGGTGGACACGATAAAGGCTTCATTACGAGCCACGAGGGTTTTGTGCTGCTTTTTTAAACTAAAAGGGAAAGTCCCCACTGAGACTCCTTTAAGCCATTCTCGTTTGAGAAAATGTAGCTGAGGGAGAGGAGCTGGGTACAAAGGAAGAATGGAACCGAGGGGTGGGAGAACGCTTCAGCGGTCCGGCAAACACTTCCTCCAATAAAACTGGGAGACCTTCAAAATAACCTCCCGCAGAAGAGACACAGAGACATCGACTGTCACGCTGGCATAAGGCCAAGGAAGTGAAAAGCTGCCCACCCACCAAACCCCACCCTCACCCCCACACGAACCTCTGCACATGATGACACGTCTGCCCTTCCTCACTCGTATCACTGACTGCAGCTGTGAAGGCAGGCTGCTTGGGGAAAACACATGTCCTTCACTTCTACACATAAGCAAGTGCAACTGACTGATTTCATTGTAAACTGTAAACAAAATAAACATTAATTTGTTTTAAAAAGTGTTCTTTGAGTTTCCTTGACATATTGTTTACAAACAAGCATGTTAGCACAGCGGATTTATCACTGAACACAGTAGTAGTTCGATCTGCATGTTTACAAACCCTTTGTAACCAAGTTCAAGCAGCCACATATAGACTCATTAGACTTTGGCTCAGTGACGTGAATCAGTTGAGATGAAGCCTTGCAGATAAAGAAGATATCCGACATCAACAACACTGTTCCTTGAGGACTGCAGTGCTAATAGGACCGATGCAATGAATGCTACTATCATCAATTTGGTTAAATGGTTAATCTAAACTCTAAGCTGGATAACTAAGCTAATAAAATATTAACCGATGCATCTCAAAGTTGGGACAGGGCCATCTCTACTGCTGACCATGAAACAGAGCTCTTGACCCACTGTTAGTTTAGTTTTAGTCATCATGCGACATGCAGTCAGCTGAGGCTGAAGCAGTGATGTGGTCACTCAGTGAAAATGCAACATCCAGATGAACAGAATACACATGCAGGGATCTCAGCTGAAACGTTTCTTCTACTGTCCATAAAATATGGAAATATGAAGTTTTACATTTTAGAGCGTTCCAGCTTTTCTTGGAATTGAGATCGTGTCACGTTATGGCATTTATTCACCTCAAACATACAGTATGCACATTGACCCACTGCAAAGTGAAGATAATCAAAATTAAGCTATGAAATCAAAAAAAAATCAGGTTCCAGCTCACAAATAGTTTTTCCTCCTCAACTCGTTCCCGTTTCTCCCAGCGGGGAAGCTGACAACAAAGTGAAGACCACCAGAGTGTACGTGGCCTCTGTTTGCAGAGGGATCCTCGACCACCCTGCCATTGTCATCAAATTTGCAAAGAGCTGCCATAATTCAAACACGTGCATGGATGCTATGCTTTTGGCTCGCTCGTGTCCATCATTTCCCCCTGTGGCCAATCATGTTGGCCTTCCTGTTGCTCTCCTGTGGAATTCTGGGTGGGGGGCATTTCTGTCTTCCTCCCCCACCCCTTTGCTCAGAAAATGCATACAAATTAGCGGTTCAAAAAATTCAATCAAGTTATGTAAAGGACAAAAGCAAGCAGACTTCAAAGGAGCGGGATAAGGAGGCATGCTGCATACAAAGGCTCCAGACACTTCTTTCAGCACTCAGACCCCCTGCACCAGCCAAACGGACCCAGCCTCTTGGAACAAAGCCCAGTCCTGAACCTGGTCTTTGATTTCAGGGGTCTTGGCACTGCTCCTTGCTTTGTTCGTCTTGATGGAGCTTCGCTGTGTAGCAAACCGTGACCCCTGCAGCCCACCCCGTTTGCATGAGGCAGCACACACAGTCATACATGCAGACAAAGCCAAACTTCCATAAGACAGGAAATAAGAAGAAAGCTGACAAGGGGGAAAAAAACAGTGTGCTGACAATACAGTCTCATCCCCGACAGATTACAGGCACCGTGAGCGTTGCTGCCAATTGTGCCCGTTCTGATAAATTAGTCATGTGTGATGGTGCGTCTGAACCCCCGACCACCCGACTGATCCCAGAGTGAACCTGAACAAGGAAGCGGGAAGGGAAAGAAAAACCAAACTTAGATTCCCCGCTCTCCTTGAAACCGCCCCATTGTCTGTGTTGTCCATTTGTTTTTTAGCGTGCTAGTTTCTACTCCATTCTCAAGCTTTTATAAAAATCTAAGATCGGATACGTTTATTTAATTTACTGGGGAAGAATTTGGGAATTTGAAGAATTACTTGCAGTAACTAACTGTGCACGTCTGGAAACTAGAGGCAAAAGACACCAAGCAGCCAGTCCAAAAACAGCTACAGTAAGTACAGCAGGTCAAAGGTAACACCGGCTCTGCTTTGTTTTAGCTACTTTTACAGTTTAGCAAACTCAGACTCTGGCAAACCAGGTAAATCTCAAACTGACTTTTTTATTTTTTAGGTAGAAGTCCACAAGATGTGAAAAACAGCCCAATTTTTACAACACACCTACCACCATACTAATGTCTGCAGCCTGTTAGCAGCCCAAGTGAAGCAGCAGCATTACTTAATACTGTGGTAATGAGCATCGACTGTATAGTTTGGGCTGACCTGACTGTGTTTGTGTGTTTGTAGGGACAGAGATGAACAGGGAGACAGAATCAGATGAATTTTTCTGGCCCTGAGTGCATCCTCCACAGAGCATACACAAGAAGAAAACCATAATCATTTGTCCTCATTGTAAACAGAAGCTAAACTAAACCCACTGCAAAAGAAAACATCACAGTGAAACAGTCCAAGGACCGCCCACGGGGGATCTTATCACAGCCACAGAACACAGTCTGGAGGTTTCAGCCTCTCCAGGCTGCAGGCCTTCACATCCCTGAGCAAAGACCAAGACATGCCACCGTCTGTACCCAGGG